CCATCGTTCGTCCTACTCAACGATCGTGGATGGAAGCTCGATGGATGGGAAGGGGCAAACTCACGGACGAAGTTGCTATTGTGCAATCTCGAACGCGAACGTTTAAAAGTGACCTAATCTTCGATAAATTCAATAATTCCCTCTGCTATCCTGCCACCAAATTTCTCGTGCTTTAATCAGATTCTCGAAAACTTTAGTCTTCCAGTGCAAAATATCAAATAATCGAGAAGTGATAGATCTCATTCATTGAATAATTAAAGAGCGCTGTGTAAAATTAATATACTTGTACTTATATAAGTTTATATAATGAAAAATACAGATCTTAAAATGAGAAACACGATACAAATACTATCAGACAAATTCAATATGGTTGAAATATTTTGTTCTGTTTTCCACACATTTCTAATTTTTTAAATATTATTAGAAAAACATGGTGTTGAAACATAAACTTTCCATGTATTAAATATGTACTTGTTCATCCAAAATATTAGTCTAATCTAGAAACTGAATTCGCATAACCAGTGTGTAGAATTTAACATTGGATGTCTATCTGGAGTAATCTAGATTCGTCGAGATTCACAATTACCGTGCTCATTCGTGCGTACAGTAAACTCGCATAAATTAAACTGCACTAGTTATAGAGACCATTTTGTTAAGCTACTATAATAAGGTCCAGTTGAACTTGTAGAAAGGGTGCTGTATTGCTCTGAGGATTTTTCTTTTTGTACACACCATTGCACTGCACCAACATCAACATTGACATCGGAGGACATGTACTAACAAAAGACTTGAATCCCCTTCTCTTTCGATTTCAGGTTTTCTACCAAGGAGTCGGCTACGCACGCCATCGTAGCGGTACACAACACAGACATCAACGGCCAAACGGTGAAGTGCAGTTGGGGCAAGGAGAGTGGAGATCCTAATAATGCTCAACAAACTGGACAGGTAAACGCTTCTCTATCTTTTCCTTTTATCCGCTCTACCAGGAGGACGGTTTCAACGTGAAATTTCGCCCTCCGAAATGTTCTCCACCAACATTTACATCGTTGCTCGTATCAAACCAGAGAACTTTTCTACTTTATTTCATGAATAAACATTATCACCGATTTTCCTTGAGATAATTTTCCAATATGAAAAAACAGTGACTTTACGTGCCTCAGTGAATCACAAGCGACTATATTGCAGAAAGTTAGAATTGAAAGGGAATAATATATGTTGACATTGATATCACAAATCTAATCTCCAATGTCTCATGCGTCTGTCAAAGCAATAAATGCAGAGCGACAGATTCTTCTACATAAATATAAAACTCAAACTTGCTGTTCTTATACGTGTCACTGAAACTGAATAATGAATATTCGTCTCAAAGGAGCAAGAGCGTTCAAAGAAGGAAATAGTTATCAGATTCGATCACGTTCGGTTCCTTCCGGTTTCGCGCGGCTAAAGTGTCTCTGTATATCTGTATATGGCCTGAAAGTCCGGCGAAAGAGTAAAAGCGGAAACGGAGAGAGGACAGGGAATCGGACAAGATTCCGGTCTATTCAGGTGCCTCTCTTCGAAGTGTGTCGGGCCGGGTCTCTTAGCAATTAGCTCCGTTAGGATGGGTAGGTACGCCCGATCTGGGAATGGTACTCGAAGTACTTCCCAAACCCTCTCGCACTCCCCGGTAGTACTTCCGTGCATCCATCCACTGCTACTCGGCCCGTGACATCGCTCTAATTGATCTCTATTCCCATAACGCGCTTCTCCCAGGGGAGCCGAGATATCACGTTAGTACGTATCCTGCCATACCCTGTTCTCGTATTCAACGGAATCGAACTAGTTTGCGTGATATCCCGGTTCATCGTATTGCTTTAATGAAGAGTATAATAGCTGCACATTATTTCCATAATCTTCTTATTGTTAGAAACAAAACTATCGAAAAATCAGTACCGTTTAAGTATCTACTCTAATAATGATAATATTATTTTCCCCAAAATTGTTTTCTCCCGTTTAATATCACAAAGCTTTGGAACAAAAATTTCAATGTTATTTAGATATTATTAGATATTATTCGGCAAATAAATAATTGTATAAGTGGAAAAGGAATATATTCTTTTGTTTCATGGATATTAATTGTGCACACACAAAAAAACAAACCGTATATTATAGAAAATATTATTTCATGATAATTTGGTAGAATAATTTGATCTGATTTCACATTGTGCACCGTAAAAGAATGAATGAGTTCACGCGAGGAACAGCGAAATAATAAAAAATAATTTACGTGACGGCAATGAAATGATCGCGTTGAAATTCTCGCGTCGCCCATTTCAAGTGAACGACCACACAAATCTTCGACGGAACGAAATTACCATTCCTGACCCTATCGACATCGTTAAGCATAAAATCCAGACAATGTTCTTGCTCTTTTCTATTTCATTGATCTTTGTGCTCTTTCAGGCGTTATCGTCGGCGACGTACCCATACTACGCGGCGGAACACAAATGCAAGCTGGTGGCTTTCTTCAAGGCATGCAGGGATATACCTATGGACAGTTCGCCGGATATCAACAGGCGCAATATATGGGGTAAGCTTTTCACACGAGATAAAGTTCCCTTTTCCCGAAAACCAAGTTTTTGACGACGAAATTTTCAATAATCGAAAATTTAAATGTAACATGAATATATAATCCCTCCATCTTTTTGCAGTATCAATGGATTGTGTAAACCAACTCGGAAATTTTAAATCTATATAACTCTAAAATTCATATTAAAGACATTACATTAAGCACATAAGGAACATAATTATTCATATAGCTATATTAAGAATATATAGCTCGAATTTGTATATAAATTTTAAATATTTTAATTCATATATCTATATTATTATTTTTAATAAATTTATCTAATTGCCAATTACATAAATACAACATTTAAATAATTTTTAAACGCATTTATCAGTTAACTGTTACAAAAAATATTAATAATACAAATAATACAAATAATAGTACGTAATATGTGACATGAGGAACATTAATATTATACAAAGTATTATAGAATGCGAATCCTAACATTTGTATGTAGAAGAGAAGGTGTTATTGTAGCACCCTATTTACATTTTATACTGCAATAGCTTGGTATAATAATCAGTATTTAAACCTAAAACTTAACAATTACATTTGTCAAAGTGTTGTTCAATTGATTCTAGACTCAAAGTTACGAAATATTTATTATTTAAGACATTTTTATAAAAATGTAGCAACACTGCATAATGGCTCAAAGAGAAACAAATATGCTAATGTGGTCTTCCACAAAAATAGATTTAAAAAATTTGGTTTTGTTTAAAAAAGTGTTTGGTTTCAAAATTAAAAAACAAAGTAAAATATTGCAGAATGTAAGCAAATATATATAACGTACACATAATTTCTTCCGTTTATAGGCTTAGTTCAGTATTAAAAAACTATGATACATGTAACATAAACTATATGAATTAACAATAGAGTTACAATCGATTTACGAAATAATTATTTCGATATGAAAAGCGCTCGAGGCATTCAGCACGTTTAGAGGGCCACATTAGCAAAATGCCATGCTATTGTTTAATTTTGCTCAATAATTCAAAGTATATACAATTAAATAATATGTTAAATAACAAACAATACATATATTCATGTGATAATACGCTCTAGTTTAAGAAGAATGAAGTATGCGTAATGAAATACTAAAATGTACTTTAAAAACGTTTCCAGATATTTAAAAGTAAAAATGCGTTATAATAAATGTTAACTATTGTGTAGGGACGTATCACGACGGTGAGATACCGAGCAAATAATTTCATCACCAGTAATCACTAGAATTAGCAGAAATATTAAGAGGCCATTATATCTAACACCGGCTATGATACCACCTTCTCTTCTACTGGTCTATAAAATTATATGATTTGACGATTATATATATATATATATATATATATATATATATATTTTACATACAAACATAGAATGGGAATGGGTGCTGTTCATGCTGCTGGCACAGCGGCAGGATGGGGTCAGGGATTACCTGGGGGACCACAGTTACCACCACACCACGCCACGACGGTCACGGCACCCCCAGGGGTGCAAGCCGCACCCCCGCCACCACCGCCACCGGCACAAATGATGGCCTACCCGATGCAACAGTTCCAGGTAACCATTACTTTATCTATCCCATCTATATACGCGTGCAAGTGTGCGCCGTATTTGTTTGTGTGATGTTCGTTGGCTAACACCGGAGTGTTTCGCTTTTTACATACCTTTGCATCTTGCCCCTGTTACATCCAAAAGCAATTTCGTCGGTGCCAGTATTGGCTTGTAAATGTTGCACGTGGAAACTCGATTCGATATCAAAAGGATATCGAAGGCATGTGTCGACAGAAGAGTACGCATAGTATGTATACATACGTGTGTATGTGTCTCTATATATATACATATATATATACATATATACATATATATATATATTATCGGTAATCTTAAGAAACCTCGTAAGCTTGATACTTGATATATCGTTCGAGAGACCGAGCGATAGAACATGATACAATTTTGCACAGGTGGAACAATAAACATAACTACAATAACACGTATGATATAATTAGCTGCATACATATATTCGGTATAATATTTTGGCTTGAGTTAACGATATTGCGAGGTTACGGGAGCAACCGCGATATGCTAATTTCAGTAATTCATACCAGCATTATTTACAATAATTACATAACGTATGTAAATGAAAACTTGCGCGCGCGCGTATCTTTTTTAATTTTATTATTGTAAAAACTCAAGATTATTTTCTTTATCAGATTAATAATACATTGTCTGCAATATCATAGCTACGTGTTATGTTATCAAACTTCGATTTCTCCATTATTAATTTAGATCACAAAATTATTCATCCGTCATAAATAAATCGGAAGTTCGCTTAATAATTATTGAGAAATAGTGCTGTGTATGAATGAAATATAAACTACTGTCGGGACTATATATGCTTATGTATTAAAGCTTACGATGTCTTTTTTTATAAACAGAGTTGGGTAAAAGACAGAGAAAGAATAGAACATTTATACTATATGTTATTTGTATTCGTATAATTTGAAATTATAATAAGATCAATAAAATGGTAAGTATTCGTCTTACATACGTGAAATGATATAATATGTTACCCATCTCTACTATGTAAAATAGATGTACTTTTTAGCTAGTTGCGAAGAATGCGTTAATTTCTTCACTGACGAAAGTGCTTTATGGCAGTCGTGATTGTATTATGGTAATTGTGTGGAGAATGTTTATAGTACGCATGTCTAATAGATCCACATAATTAAAGACGAGAAATAATAGAAATTTTATATAACATTATTTCGATTATCTTGTACCGAATTTCGAGAGATATTACTAGAAATTGAGAAAATAAAAGTTACTTTAATTTTTTGTTGAAAGATTTAAAACGATGTTTGGTGTTACAATGATATTTGTGAAATTAATAAGATATTATATTACATTAAACAATTGTTATGTACCTCCTTATATACAATTAATTATCTAACGTAATTTTCAATCCATTGACATGCAATTGCACTCTTACTAGCAACGTATTTTTTATTTTTTGTACACCAGACATTGATAAAGCAAGACAGACTCGCTTTCCCGCTCGACACGTGATTATAGGAGATTGTCGAGATTTAGTTATGTTGCAAAAAAATTGTGGTTCATGGCAGTGAAGTGAAATATGATACTTATCGTAGTTGTTGTCCAGAAAAGTACACCTCGACCATCTTGCTTTCTGCACAAAATGTACACGTAAGAAAGTGCGCACTTGCACATACAGGCACACACGCCATCGCTAAAAACGACACTACTACAAAAAAAAAGTCTGGAATATTTGAAAAGAGATCAGGGATGGCTTCGGGCAAGTGCAGCGAATGCATTTCAACTCAGCACCGCTTTTAATGCCCCGCGTTCTTTTTGCTTCAAGAACAATTTCTGAACTTGACAACTTGAAGTCTCAGAATTGAGAACGACTATCTTAATTTAAAAGATCGCTAAAAACTCTAGTCTGAAATTTTCAAATTAACTCTGTTGTTTCTTTATATTTTCCTTTCCATTATTTATTAAGTAAATAGAAAAAATTTATATATGAAATATATTTAAAAAATTTTTGGCACTTATTTTATATTAAGTAAAAATAGTATTATTATTACAAAATCACATCTTATTCCGGTATTATGTATTTCATATATTTTTATTTATTATTTAAGCCTAATTTTTTAAATTAGATTAACTTAAATATAAACTTCAGTGATAAAATAAAATAATATAAACTTGTTTTTTAGTACTTTTAACACATACACTATTATATCACGATAGAAAACAACGCATTCATAAATTTACGGAAATGGAGGGTAAATCGGCTCGAGGTTAAGAGATCCTACTTTAAGAGAAAATACAGTTATTAGGAATAAAAGAATAAGTTTTCTGATCAACAAGACTAGTAGACTTTGTTGAAGTACAATAAAACTCTGAAATAAACTCTGAACTGAATCAATGAGCGAATATCTGATTGTAAATCCGATTTGCTCACTAATTCCTTTCATCCGCTGTGCTTTAAATTTAATGATCCGCAAAAATCTCTCTAAATGGATTGGCAAAAATAAAAAACCAGTAAGTATCATAATGTTTCCGGTTTTTTTAAATTAACATGTCCATATTTCGCATTAAAAAAAATTGTGTCAAGATATTCATGAGAACATTTTTCCATACAGCATTTTCGGTTAACTTTGGAATAAGTCACATATTTAATAATAGTTTATAGAAAATTTTTAGATGACTATTTTATCAGAGAAAGTATGAATAATTTGAGATAGCGTAGTATATTGTAAACGCTGTATCGATTTTGGCTTTCGGTCATTAATCTGCAACTGTTTGCAATGCCAGTAAAACGGCCTGTCGCTCATATTGTATATATGCTTAAGGAGATATACACATATCACGCAGCTATAGTTGTTTAGTGAGTCTTTTGTACATATCGCACATAGAGCGGAGTAAAAGGTCACGTACCATTGCTCGTCTATCGCATCGAAAGAGATATTCCGGTGAGGAAAGTTAGCTCGCTTTCGCACAAATATCTTTCTCCGAAAAACCGAGTTCGCATTATATCACTGCATGTCAAGCGAGATATCACTTTGAAAGTTGCTTGAAAATCAGCCACCGAAACTATCCTCAATTGAGAGAGAACACGAGTTCTTAATAACAGTATACCGATCAAACAATAAAAGAAGGATGAAACGTGAGAAATATATCGCCACCGGGATAAATTGCAATTGGCTTTCCGTTTAGTTTGCTAATTCTTTTTTTTTGTTACAAAAGTTACAAAGTTTTGCGTTTGATCACAGACTCTAAGAAAACAAATTTATACACGGATATTCGCAATTTACAATCATGAGCTAAAAGCTGCGAAGTTATGAACATGCAAATATCCCCCGTGTAAATTTGTCCGACGTGTATTAAACTTTAACGTGCAGCTAACAATACAAAATGTATATTAACCAATAGAAAATTAATAAAAAAAAAACTTAATATAAAATTAAGAAAATTAATATTAGATGAATGTTATAAATATAGTATGGATATAAAAAGCTATAATAGCTCTCTACGTAGATCTTAACTTGCATGAATATGGAATGCAAAATGTAGACATTGCATGCATTATGCTTCTTGCACTTTATCTAATTCAATTCGGGTATCCCTCTGGAGTGCCTTTCTTTTATTTCCTTACTTTTATAAAGTATTACTTATGTTCGATTATATATTATGTTTTTATATATATTATAATTTTAACCCAATTCTAACAAATTGAATAATTATTTTGAGATAAAATGTAAAAATTTTAGTAAATATTTTCTGATTTACAATCGTTGCTTTATTAATTGGAATAAATTTAATTATGATTTATATGATTTTTTTTTATTATTATAAATTATTATATTAAATTATATTTAAAAGATCGAATGTACGTACATGTGATAATATTGTACTCGATGCTCTTGTTATTCACTATCCAGGAAGGGATGCTCGAAATTTTCAAAAAGACTATCTTTATTTACATATTTCGGTTCGCAGGCACAGTGATCGCTACCACTATCATCGCACGGCCTGGCTTATCCTTTCTTTCGAATATCAATTAGCATCAGGATAACTGCATCTACAACCTGGCTCAACCTCGCATTCAGCCTGAAATTACTCGCTGCAGCTTGTTTTTATGCAAAAGGATAATATTTTCGACGAACAAAAAGGGATGGAAGAAAACATGTAAGAAACGAAAGCAAAAGAAAAATGTGTCTATTCGCGTCTAATTCATCAGCATAACAATTTATAATATTCAATTTCATAGTAGTCTAAACTTAATTTATCCAATGACGACTGAGCACACACACACACAGTGATTAAGTTATGAAAACTCATTAACCTAATCTTGCGGTTAATGCACCGTCGCCGATGCGATAAATTATAATACAAGTAGTTTATTCTACTTGTTATATTATATAATTATTATGCAATCTTTACATATTTACTGTTGCGCCACACGGTGGAGGTTGAGTCATGGTGAAGGTAGATTCAGATCGATTAGAATCCATGTAGTAGGAGAATGTAGTGAGAAACTGTAATGAAAAAGCAAGAGTGAAGAATGAGACAGAAGCGAGAGAAAGAGAGAGAGAATGAATGAAAGAGAGAAAGGAAGCAAAAGTTAGAGAGCACATAAACGAGCGCGAAGACGAATGAAAGAGAGGGAGAGAGAGGACTA